TTGGGGTCTAGAGGTATGGCGTTCGCCTCTCACTCTCATTCAATAAGCCCCGGGTTCGAAACCTAACAGCGACGGGAACTTTTCTTCTTTCGCCTCCTTCCCTGCTCTCTAATCATGTTCTTTCATCTGTTTTCCTCTCCACTTTCTGCCCCCTCCCCTTCCCCTCTTCTCTGGGCTCCTGACTATTTCTACTTCTATTCCCGGCCCCTTCTTTCAGCCACATCCCTGATGGTAAGGTTGAACACCTAGCCTTCTCGGATAATGGCGAGAAAATCTCGGAGGACCCGTGTGCAAGTTGTGCACGTTAAAGTAAGATCTATTGATGGACCTAAAATCGATAAGAGTAAGCTTCGACAAAACTCAAAATTAATCACTACAGAGTGTGATATTCAGGGTGATAAAAAAAACAACAACAACAACTGTACAACTTTTTTTTCTAAATGTCTCGCACAAAATTTGTACTAGAATGTTTTAGTTTGGAACAGATACATGTATAATTCATTCAAAAGGAATTTGTTTGATACAAAATCCACAAAGAAAAAACTTTTTTTGGAAAACGAAATTGGCGTTTATAAAAACCGCCTATAAATTTATGCAAAATGCACCAGCTTAAAAGTAAAAAATCTTATAAGGAAAATCATGAAAAGATTGGTTTATTTTTTCCTTTCCTTTTATTTTCAAAATCTAATTTTTCCATCCCTGTAACCTTTAAACAGTATTATTATTTCTTTTCTCCAATAGAGTTAGAATAATATTATTTAAATTCTGGAATTCCGAGAACAAATTAATGGTCTATTATCCTCCTTTGGACTCTATACACATTTTAACGCGTCGTTCGTTACCCTAAGTGGTGCTAAACACAAGGATCCACTCGACCATGAGTAGGGCCTACTCAAAGCCACACATACGGTACACCTTACAGTATGGAGCTGTTTCCAGAGACAATATAAGGGGTAGGGGGGGGGGGGCGAGGTTACCCAAAAAGACAGCATTTGTGGAGTTGATATATAATCTGAGTGTGAGAGGTGTATATGGGCTTTACCAAGGAACAAAATGTCACAGAGGAGATGTTCACGCTTTTCATTTCAAGACGATCGAGGTACCATGAACACATTGCTGTCCTCTGATAGCTTCGCAAACGGGAAAATTGTTCAGTCGAAGATGAAGATTTGCCTTGAGAATGCGGGCCGTTGAAATGTAGGAAAGTCATTGCTGCAGACAATGTCTACGGACAGACGTCTAATAGGGTTCGTCTATTGAATTCTGCTTCCTTGTGACGTTTAAAGGGGTGCGAACGCTGTGTGTTTGACCTGAAGTGGTCGTTTTCTCTGGGAATTTTAAGTTCTGATCCTCTAGCTACAGGTCCCAACTGATGGACCATTTCTACCTTTTACATCAAAGAAGGCAAGGGCACCTTAACTCTACACTATTTCCGTTTTGTGTGCGAAACTTACGAAATGAGTTGGTGGTGAGGAACTGTTCAATACAAAAAGCTCTCTACTCTTTACTAATCTTAACCATAATCTCAGCAGGCAAAGGAAACTTGAGGGAAACTTTCTGCAAACTTCTGTTGGCCTGTTAGACTTCTGTAGTTTGCAATATGGCCAAATCGTTGGGATTTTTAGGGGTAGGCCTAATGCGAACTAGTGCGTCATGCTACAAAAATGGGGACATAGCTGGACATTTTTTTTTTTACGCGCTATGTAGAGCAAATCTATTCTGTGGATTAATCTAAAATGAATATCAGACAAATTCCTTTTGACTTCCAAATGTTGTGTACAAATTTGAAAAGCAGAACTTCAGTGTGGAGGAAAATATTAACAAAAAAAGTTGTACAATCATTTTTTTTTTACCACCCTGTACACTAAGACTTGTGTTTGCATGTATGTGTCCGTGTTTTTGTGCATGCATACATGTTTGTGTAAGTGTTCGAAAGTGTGTTCATGTGTAACACAGTAAAAAAAAAAGAGAGATATGCAGTATTGTTGAAATATCTTTTATACTGTAAAATGCAAATCAATATTATGGTTCAGTATCGCGATCAGTAGATTTTTCAAAGCCTATCAATAAAATATGACCTGACACGATGGAACAACGGAAATGTAACATCTGTGAGATTTTATACGTTTATCTGTCAGTGTGTTCCACACTGTGTCAAACAAAAACAAACTCACAGGATACAATCATCTAAGTCTAAGTGCATTTCAACAGGACTATCCGCTCTTGTGGAGCTGTCATTTGGAAAATGGTCGAATCTTCATTTCAGTGAAGGAGACCGAGCCGTCCGTGACGCTTCTCCATATCAAGCCCTTGGTGCCCTGTGTGTTGCCCCACAGTCCGTTGAGGTTCACGTAATGGCAGCCCTTGTACCACCAGGCTCCGTGGCACACACTGGCACAATTTTTGCTGCTCCACATGTCGTTGTCACGATCCTTGGTGGAGAACAGCTGACCATTGTGATACGCCATGTTGTCACTCACATTGCCGGTAAATCCAGAAATCTGAATTCTATAGTTGTCTGATTCTCCAGACAGCTTGAAATTGTCGTATCTGGCGTAGTAGCTTTTCCCCTCGAATGCCAAATCGAACCGCAGTTCGTATCTCCCCTGGTGATGAGAACGTGTAGAAAATTAAAACTAGCTGTACATACACGTGGTTTAGACACCTACACAATCCAGTCGCTATGTCTCAGCTGAAAATGACACTAACATTGACAAAAATGTTATGCCCGGTGCCCTTTGGCAAGATCAGTTCGGTTCAGTTCGGCTCGGTTCGGTTTAGTCGCCGGGGAAAGCGAGGGTTAAATTTCCTCTATGGAGAGAGAAAAGCTACCGTCGTGGCACAAACCGAACGAAACTGACGATGACTTTCAGAAACATGGATCAACGCGTTTATTTTCTAGGCCGAGAGTCGGGCGATCGGTCTGAGGCAGGGGTCAGACGCGGTTCGTCCATAGAGGACAGTCGTGCCGTGCCGCCCAAAATGTTTTAATGTTCTGTTATGTAAAACACCTACAATAATAAAATAAAAGACGTCAGAAACAAACACTTGCCAAATATTATATCAAAACACGTTTCTCACTGGCACAGTAACTGTCATTTCTGTGTCTATAGCGCCGTAAAACATGTACTATGCCATGCCAAAGTTCATGCACTGTATCTAAACATAGCAGGATATTCAACAGTGGAAACCTGACCTTTAAATCACTCTTTGGTATAACCCAAGCGATGACGACACTCGTAGAGAGTTTGGCCGTACATTAATATTGATACGACGGCACATCTCAAATGTGCTCCTGCCGAATAGTGCCGAAACATAGCTCACAGTAGGCAGTCTAAAAATAAACGCGATAGACTGTGCACTATTCTATGCCAAAATTATGTGAGCCCCGGAGCAATCCAGCGGAGTGCTCAAGTGAATTGTGATTGGTTCATTG